GCCGGTTCGGTGACACAGCTTGGCTGCTGCACGCCAGCAGAGGCTCTGCCCTTTGCAGGGGCAGGACATTTTCTCCACTCCGGATTCAGAGGAGTTTGCTGTGACACTAACAGCCCGTGATCTAAAAGCAGCAGCTCGTGTATCATTAAAATAGCAAAGGTTTACCTGCAGCAGGGCAATGTTTTGGAAACACCAACCTCATTCCTATACATCAACAAGTGTCCAGTATTGTTTTTTAAAGAAAAAAACAACCCCAGTGTTAAGATCCCCACAGATGCCTGTACAGGTACTACAGAATGCTCTTTTCACGAGATGCTTTCCAACATCTGAAAACCACGCTAAAACCCACCACAAACTACTCTTTTTAAGATGTCGGTGCAGCCTCTGCTTTGCTTCTGCCTTCTAAATGAAAATCCAAATTAAACAACTTGAAAGTACAAAAATATTGACAGACGCTCATATTCAGAAGGTTTGTACAGTGAAGAAGGTGTTTCCAGAGTGATCAACTTATTTAGTTTAAGCACGGCACTGAAATACAAGCTGTGGAAAGAGTAATTATCCACAAAGACTTCATGAACAGTTACTTTGTCCTCAGAGCCTTCATATTGCACTGGACCAACCACAGCCCTCTCTTCCTCCAGACTCATTTAGAGTGTTTGCTTATGTGTGAGCTAAAGACACTTTCAGTGCTGACACCAAACTTACAAGCTCAATCTAATAAATGTTACTAACATAACCTTATTGCTAAAGAAATTAAAAGCAAGCAGAGAGATGTCTGGCTTAATTAAAGATTTAATGCCAGCTGTGAGAGGTGGCAGTGTGGGTCGTGTGTTGACTCAAGAGGGGAGGACAGAGGCTCCGTTCCGTAGCAAGCTGGGCGAGGACCCCAGCACACAGACAATGCCATTTTGCTGTGGGTACCTGTTCAAAGTGTTTGCAGACCTGCAAAGAAATTAGCTTGTCACTTCCATGAGCTTCTTGTGTGGGTACTCAGCAGTCTCTTTGAGCTCTTTCATCTTGTTTCTCTGGTTTCAGTCCCCAGCACCACATCCGACTCTCACACCACCCATCTGGTCCACTTTTGCAAGCACCCC